AGGAATGTTGTTATTACTGTTTTATTTCCACATTCCCCATTTGCCATGTATCAAGCTGAGAGGAAATGAATCAGAGTCTGGAATAAAACTTCAAGAACTACATTTACTTATTGATCCATCATCACCAATTAATTACAGAATAAAAACATTATTGTTACCATTGCACGGTTGTATTGTTTATTTTCTTTTTAAGCAGTTCTTGAACATTCTTCAGATAATAATTTATGAAAGACATTGTTGGATATTTCTTATTCTGTCTTATGCAAACTTTTTAACAAATTTTTTTCCTTGGGTTTGGAAACCATCACACAGAACTGCAGCAGGATGTTTTGATGACTTAGACTATACCAGACCAACACAATGAGTTGAAAACTGTAATATGGATTTTCAAAGAACTGGACAGATTGATGAATGTTTGAGGATACTGAACTTGATAAAAAACTGAAATATCCAGAAAAATGTTGAGGGAAATGTTGAAAATTATGGCTTATCTCAAGTGGCAATATTGTTTTAAACCTGCAGGGTCAGAAAGCAATATTCCAGCCAGCAGAAATAAGCTATGATTTAGAAACCTTCAGTCAAGAAAAAGAAAGAAGAAAGAAAAAGAGAGGAACTCTTGAGTGGGTGACCATTTCATCACCCAAGATGACAAATACTATATCTAGGAAATATAACAGACACTGCATGAGAAGAAATATATTTTTGTTTTAGTGCACTGTTAGTTATTAAAACTACCAATTTCTCTTCTTTCTCTCCCTCTCTTCTCTCCTTTTTATCTCTCTTTTTTTTTTAGGTGTTGGCAGATTTTTGTTCTCTGTATGTATGTGTGTGTGTCCTTTTTTTTCTGTTAAAGAGTTCCTTCAGATGCTAAAAGACCTACCACGGACCTGGTGTTACTTGTTAAATATTGTTGCACACACAGTCTCAGTGTAGACACACACATCTGGACATATTAATCCCACAGTCAGTGTTCAAAGTAATTGAGATGAACTATACTGTGAGAGGATTTCCTCTTTATTGACCACAGGCTACTGTGTCAGTTCTAGACAATCATATTGAAATATCTTTATTTCATTCAGATGGAATATCCAGAAGAGTAACACTTCAATATAGACAAAAATTATTCCTGTTTCACAAACCATATTTCAATTGAAAAGATCACGGGAAATTTTTCCACCTACCTTGCTGCAGGAGAGTTTGTATTTGTAATTCTTACAGGCAGACTGATGAGGCTATTACTAGAATTTCTGTCCTTCTTATCTCAAAATATACTGTATGAATAGAAAGTTAATAAATACCTAAGAAAAGCTGGTATTCAGTTACACTATGGTGAATACCTAACAGATTAACTGCATGCTTGTTTGTCTACCTATTCATTCTTCCTGCTGTAATTTTCTTCATATCCTGTGCATTAATGTCCACCCTAATATTTTCATCCTGACCAATCTTAGAGGATAGAAGAGAGTTATAAAATAATATTTTCTGATTTAATAAAAGTTAGTCTCTTTTTGCCTCTTAGAAATGTAACTTCAGCCTAGTTTGATATGATGAACCTGCACGAGAAGTGCTTTCGCTCTGTAGCTGAATCAGGTGTTCCAGTGCACAAACCTTCTCCAGATGGCTGTGGCTCTGCTCTGCCTGCCTGTGTACTGCTTCAAGATGAACTTCTGTCTGGAACTGATATGAGATGGGACAGCTGTCCCACTGCTTATTTTTCCTGCTGGAATAACAAGTGTCCCTTGGCATTACTGCATTTGGGAATTTACCATCAACAGCCCACAATACCACATAAGTTTTGCAGATTTTTCAGACTGTGACACAACTGGAACAGGGTGAAAACAGAATTTTCAGTTTGAAATAAGATCTTTACAAAGTAGTTTTCCTGTTTGTCTTTATCACTTATTTTCTCTGTTACTTTGTTTCCCATTATCAGTCAAAATGGCAAGAAATTGCTTATTTTTGCGTGACTATTATTTACATTAAAAGGATTTATTTTTTTAAACTGTGTCCTGTAGATGTTGTATTGGGCCTGGCTGTGATGGAGTTAACTCCCCCCATAGCATCTCTCACAATGCTGTACTTTGTAGTTAGAACCTTGCTGATAACACACCAGTGTTTTGGCTACTGCTGCACAGTATCAAGGCTGAAATTCCAACACCCTAACACCCCCTCCCCAAAGGCCAGGAGGCTGGGGGTCGGTTGGAAGGGGACATAGCCAGGACAGCTGACCCGATCTGACCAAAGAGATATTCCATGCTGTGTGATGTCATGCTCAACAATCAAACCGAAGAGAAAGGAGGAGGAAAGGGGCACATTCGTTATTAAGTGTTTGTCTTCCAAAGCAACCACTACGTGTACTAAGGTTCTGCTTCCCAGGAAGCGACTGGACATCGCCTGCTGCTGATGGGAAGTAGAGAATAAATCTTTTTGGGTTTTTTTTAACTTTGCATCCATGCATGCTCTTTCATTTATTTTTTTTTTATACTGCCTTTATCTCTACCCACGAATTCTTCATCTTATTTTTCCCCCTGTCTTGCTGAGGGGCAGGGAGTGGTAGAGCAGCTTGGTGAGCACCTGGCAACTAGCCAAGGTCAACACAACACAGATGTCTATGTTTTGACTGTATACATGCACATGTATTTTACACATTGCCAACTGGATTTTACCTCTTAAAACAGACGAGAACGGACCAGAGCCTTAAAACTCACATCAATCATGTTTAAACTTCAGTTAATTACTGAAACTCCATGCACACCCTTACTTCATGAATATTTCTGTGCGTATTTCTGTGAATATTTTATTTTTAATTGAAAGCAGAAAAAATAAGACTGGTCATGGACAGACTAAAATTATAACAAGAACCTTTTAGAAAAAAAGTACATAGAAAGTGAGACTTCTTAAAGAAAATGGGCCTGCTCCAGTTCAGCTGTCTATGTTAAGCAGTTTAGATGTCTGAGACCAAGGTCAGCTCTTTTGCTGATAAGAGCTGTTGGCTCAGACTTGAGAGGGCTGACATCCTCCAGAGATGCTCAGAAGAGGGATACTAGAGGTCCAGCACCACAAGACCATTCACAGCCACCAAGTGGTCTCCATCAAGAGTCAGTGAGAACCTTCAAGTATGCATACCAGCTGGACAAAAGTTTTGGGAAGGTGAAGCTAGGTCAGGGGGTCAGCAGTTCTGCATTTGTGGCACTTTTTGACCAAGCACTCCACTTACTCATCACCTGTGGTGAGGAAAGGAAGGTCTGAGAGGCAGGAAAGTGTTCCTTAGCTGCTCAGATGCAGCATGTAGCATCTACACCTGGGATTCATTTGCCTATTCATAAGCATCAGGACTATTGGAGACAACATGGGATGTTCCACCGGTTCTCAAAGGCAGTCATGGGCCACACCTACCAGCAGCACATGAATGTCTGTTCACACACTTCCTCATAGAACTTGATCTCCATGGGTGTAACGAGACTGAATGCACTGTGGCAGAATTTGAACAAAGGCAGCTAGAACTGCCTGTGCTGATTGAGGCTGTCACACTGTCAGCACAGCCCTTGGAGTGGTCTTATCTGAGAATCTCTCCAATCCTGAGAGTCAGATTGGAGGAAGCTGCCCAGGTTTGCTGGAGAAGCGAGAGTTCAGTGCTATGTGCACTCCCAGTGACAGACAGCCAAGGTGTGCTCTGGGAGCAGTACACCTGAAGTCAAATGCAATTTGGCTCCTTGAGTGTCTAGAGATCACCAATGAGGTGGGTTGTCTCAACCAGGGGCGGGCTGCCAGGGAGGCATGAGCATGGGGCTGGCTCATGCGAGGAAGGTAGAGACGGAGCATCCCAATCCAGCAGATGAGAGGAAACACCCATGTCAAATGTAGGTCATGGAATCATAGAATCATAGAATTGTCTAGGTTGGAAGAGACCCTTGGGATCATCGAGTCCAACCATCTACTCTACTCTACAAAGTTCTCCCCTACACTGTATCCCCCAACACCACATCTAAATGGCTCTTAAACACATCCAGGGATGGTGACTCAACCCCCCCCCTGGGCAGCCTATTCCAATGCCCGACCACTCTTTCTGTCAAAAATTCTTTCCTAATGTTCAGTCTAAATCTACCCTGTTGGAGCTTGAAGACATTCCCTCTCATTCTGTCATTAATTACCTGTGAGAAGAGACCAGCACCAACCTCTCTACAGTGTCCTTTCAAATAGTTGTAGAGACTGATGAGGTCTCCCCTCAGCCTCCTCCTCCTCAAACTAAACAGTCCCAGCTCCTTCAACCACTCTTCATATGATTTGTTTACTAGGCCCTTCACCAGCTTCGTTGCCCTCCTCTGAACTCACTCCAGCACCTCGATATCTCTCTTGTATTGAGGTGCCCAAAACTGGACACAATACTCAAGGTGTGGCCTCACCAGTGCTGAGTACAGGGGCACAATCACCTCCCTACTTCTGCTGGCCACGCTATTTCTAATATAAGCCAGGATGCTGTTGGCTTTCTTGGCCAGCTGGGCACACTGCCGGCTCATATTCAGGTGCTTGTCAATTAGAACCCCCAGGTCTCTTTCTGCCAGGCAGCTTTCCAGCCACACTTCCCCAAGCCTGTAGCGCTGCACAGGGTTATTGTGGCCCAAGTGCAGGACCTGGCACTTGCCCTTGTTGAAACTCATACCATTGATGTT